CTCTAGAGAGATAGATAATCTAAGGGTTTGGCATTTAGAGAGATTAAGTGACAAAACTTAAATCACCATATAAAGACTATTGGAAAAGAAATGGTTGAAATTTTAATATGTTTGTTTTTGGGGTTAAACCTAGAGTTAGGGTCCTGGACAGATACCTGTGAAGAGGGTTCCCTAAATTTCAGGAGTAAAATGCTTTAAGTACAACTAGGTTCCACTGGGTTTTCCACGAGAAAGAGAGCATAAGACCATCCATGTATCCCAAAGTATTGATTGTTCATATCTTTTCCTTCTCAATTCTTTAAATGTGGTGGTCTTGCTACCTTCCTGAGTGTCCCCTTATCACTTCAAACTACGTCAACTGATCCACTGAGACCTCCCATCCCCGAATCGTAGCTTCTGTACATCACCTCCTATTTCTGTGCACACATTTTCTTTTTCATTTAAAAAGTTTGTGGAAGGTGGAGGTGATGCCTTCTGTTTCTCTTCCAGTACCCTATCTAAGCACAGTGTTGGGTTCCAAGTAGTTGCTGAATGAATAGATGGTTTTAAAATTCAGAAAGAACTGAATTAGAAAGTACAGAGCACATCTGAAAAATTAGCTCAGCTTTGGTTTGGCAGGGAGGCCGAGTTCATTGGTTTTGTTTTTTGGCTGCAGGGAAGGAGTGACTCGTGGATCATGCAGCGGAATTGATGATTCTGCTTTTGAACGGGACAGCATAAAATCAGGCCGAGCAAGTATGTGTGTGTTTCTTCGGGATTGTTCTGCCACTCTCTTGTGGTTTGGAGAACTGGATTTCTCATAAAAACTCTCTTGTATGTCTTTCAGTTAAGATGACCACAGATTCAACAGATTTTGCATCACGGAGCTTCGAGGCTTTGGGTGGAGACGTGTCTAATGAAGTCTTGTAAGCATTCTTTACTTGTAAGGCTTTCTCAAGTGCCTCAACTTTTCTTTTTTATGTTTGATTTATTTCATAGATCTACATATTTTATTTATGATACAGTCGCTTAGCTCTGTGTGTGTGTAGTGTGTGGTAGTGCTAATGTAATTTATTAACTCTTAACTATTCTATCCCAATTGCGTTAGAAGTAGTTTTACTAAGAACACAAATGATAGGAAATGAGTATGACATACATTAACATTTTCTCTCTCATGAAACCCTTCTTCTTTAACTTCATATGTTTTCCCTGGAAAACAAGTTCCATTGAAAGTAGAGTTAACGACATTCACCTTAAGCACTTTGGGGGATTTTTTTCTTTCCAAATTTATTAAAACCTCAAGTGAGAGATAAATGATGTTCCAGATCAGAAGATTAAAAGACCTACACTTGAGGGGAGGGGGTATAGCTCAGTGGTAGAGCACTTGCTTAGCATGCAGGAGGTCCTGGGTTCAGCCCCCAGTACCTCTGCTAATAATGAATGAATAAATAAACAAACCTAATTACCCTCCCAAACAAACAAAAACAACAAAAAGACCTACATTTGGTTTACCTCCTAATCCAGACTTCAAACTATATCCCTGCATTGGCCTAGGTATCATTGGCCTGGATTGTCATTCTCTCTCCTTCCCAAGCTTTGTTTATTTTTGTTCTGTTTTTTTTTTCAATTGAAGTATAGTTGATTTACAACATTGTGTTAGTTTCTGGTGTACAGCAAAGTGATTCAGTTATACACATATATACACATAGTCTTTTTCGTATTCTTTTCCATTATGGTTTATTACAGGATATTGAATAAAGTTTCCTGTGCTATACAGTAGGACCTTGCTGCCGATCTATTTTATATATAGTGTGTATTTGTTAACCCCAAACTCCTATTTTATCCCTCCTCAACCCCTCTTTCCCTTTTGGTAACCATTAGTTTGTTTTTTATGTCTGTGAGTGTTCCTGTTTTGTAAATAAGTTCATTTGTGTCATATATTAGATTCCACATATAAGTGAAATCATGATATTTGTCTTTATCTGACTTATTTCATTTAGTTTGATCATCTCTAGGTCCATAGACAGTTATTTTTAAAGCACTTCTTTAATAGATTCTTTGAGATATGAATGAGAAAAGCTGTCTTCTGCTAAATGTGAGTTCTAGATACTGAAGTGAGGTGACTCTGCCTCTCACTTATTTTACCTTTGCAAACTCAGATTTATCCATGCAAAAAGATGGACTAGGAGTCATGTGCTCAACCTGGGCTAAGCACAGGGATAAGATGACAAAGAGGAAGACGAGGCCTGAGACTCCATGACACATGCAGTCTGGACTCTCAAAAGGCTTATGATCAAATATTGGGGGCAGGAGTGATACTCACAAACATTATCAAGCTGTAGAAAATATTAGGAAAGGTGAGTCCTAGTTTGTGAGCCCCAGGCTACACATATAAGACTCTAGGAATTGTTTCCTAGTTAAAGGCCTATTAAAACCTGCCAAGATATCTTGACTGAAAGAGTACAGTGTCAATTTATTTCGAGATTTTCCATAACCCAGGCAGAAACAGAAATTCTTCAGTGTGGATGGAGGTGGATGTTGGGCGCAAACTGGGAAGGAGAAACAAAAGCTGTAGAAGTTGACTTCACAAGTGGCAGATGCTGAATATCTGGCAGTTTTGGAAAAATCTTTGAGGCTGTTTTAATAAAGCTTGGAAAAATATCATGTGAATGAACTACATTTATGAGGATGAGTGAAGACAAAGTAGAAAATCGCACAGGAATATTTAAGCCTTAACCATATGTCTTATTCTCGTTGGGAGGGATTAGAGATTAGAAGAGTATTCTCAGTCATTCTTTCACCTGCAGAGAGGTGCCTGATTTGATTACCTATGTAGCAGACCTGCATTTCAACAAGCAGAAATTGGAGGAGGAAAATAATAAGTTTAAATTGGCATTAGAAACCTTGGAAGAAGCTAACAGCCAGTTATCTCAGGACTGCACTGAATTGCACCTTCAGATAAAAAGGTGAGATGTGGTGGGGATACTGTGTGCTGGGAACTTTCAGTTCTTTTTCCTTTTTTTTTTTAAATAAATCTGTTTTTTTTAATTGAGATATAATACACATCGCATAAAATTCACCCTTTTAAAGTATACAGTTAATGTAGTGTTTTTTTGGTGTATTCACAAGGTCATACAACCATCACCATGATCCAATTCCAGAACATTTTCATCACTCCAAAAAGAAATCCAATACTGATTAGCAGTCATTCCCCATTTCCCCTTCCCTCAGCCTCTGACAATCACTAACCTACTTCCTATCTCTATGGATTTCCCTATTCTGGGCATTTTCATATTAGTGGAATCATACAATGTGTAACCTTTGTTTCTGGCTTCTTTCACTTAGCACAAAATTTTCCAAGCTCATCTATGTTTTAGTATATATCACCGCTTCATTCTTTTTATGGCCAAGTAATATTCCATTGTATGGATATATCTCATTTTGGACATTTGAGTTAGTTCCACTTTTTAACTCTTATGAATACTACTGCTACGAACATTTGTGTACATGTTTTTGTGTGGCTATATGTTTTTGGTTTTCTTGCATATTTACCTCTTGCATGTGCACATGTTTTTGTGTGGCTATACGTTTTCGATTTTCTTGCATGTTTTCTTGCAGGAGTGGAATTCCTGGGTGGTAACCTATACTTAGCATTTTGAGGAACTGCCAAACTGTTTTCCAAAGCAGCTACACCGTTTTACCTTCTTACCAGCAATGTTTGTTAGCAATGATGTTCTCTGTGTCACTCAAGTCTCTGTCTAAGACCAATATGCCTATGGGTCCAGTGTGAATCCATCTAAACATTCTGTGGTTCTGGATAACTCTTACTGTGTGAAAAGTCCCATGCTAAGTATTATGAGAAATTTGTCGATGAGTCAGATTTAAAATGTGCCCTCAGGGTACCTATACCCTAGAAGGATGATACAAAAATGCATGACCTTAGCTTAAGATAGAAAAGGATAATGGACTTAGGAGATGTACCAGATGAAGTGTCAGACCCTGGTAAAATTGGTTGTGGGGAGATGCTTAAGCATCAGGAAACAAGCAACGGTTCTCACAAAGTCTGTGTTTACAGATGTTGTAGGTGCTAAAATTCTGAACAGAAAAGTTCTAAGTTAGCTTGAAAAGACAGTAAAGCATTCTGACCATTTCCTCTTCCCCTCATAATTTTTGACCAGCCTCCAAACTGATCCATAGAATTAAAAAAAAATATGCTAACCTCAAACTCTCTCTATTTCATAATTGGCTTATTTATTTTTCATTTGAAATGTAATAATTCAAACTTCTTAAAAAAAAAACAACTATGCTTTGGATGAATGTTCCGGTCAGAGCTTTTGATTGCAACACTCGAAGCTGACCCTGGTTACTGGAAGTTGACCCTGGTTAACTTAAGCAGTCTTAGAAGGGAATTGGGCAACTTGCAGGATGGACAGAAAAATTAGAGAATCTGGTTGGGCAGCCAGAATGCCGGTGTCTACAAAATTAAGCCTTCATGTCTTCTTTTCTCCTTCCCCTAATCCTTCAGGAAAAGCCTATTTCCTTTCTGCACTCAAAGCCTATTTTTGATATTGTGCAGTTGTCCCGCTGTGGTGTGATTTGCCTTCTGTGTTAACTGTGCCCTCGTTAATGGAAGGAACTGTTATCTTATTTATTCTGGTTGCCCCAGTGCTGGGTAGAATGTCTGCCGTAGAAGCACTCCCTTCCTTCCAGTCGCCTGCAAACCAAAAATCTGTCTCCTTTTTCTTCCTCAGCCTTCACTTCTAAATCAAATTAGCAAGTCCTGTTAATTTACCCACTTCCTCTCTCTTGGATAGAAGGACTCCTTTCCATTCCCATAGCTGCCGCTTCGTTCAAGTCAACATCACCTTTCACCTGGATCCGCAGCAGGTGCCACTCCAGCAGGAAGGCCCTTCTTAATTGCCAGTCTGACCACATCAATGCCCCTGCTTTAAACACTTCAATGAATCCCTTTTATATTCGGATAAAATCCAAATTCCTTCATGTGGTTTGCGAAGGCCTTCATGGTGGAGCTCTGATGCCTCATCTCTACTTCCCATTTTCCCCTGTAGGCTCCAACAATATCTGACTGCTTGTAGTTCCTCACTGAGCTTCTGTCTTCTACTCCTCTGTCCCCCTCTTCTCTCCTTCTCATTATCTGAGCTATCTCCCTTTTACACAGTGTCTACAGAACTTGGGTTCCCACCAACCTGGGTTCCTGTTATACTGTATGGCAATTATAATTGTCTGTTGACCTTACTAGACTATAAACTCTAGGAGGGAGGCATTCTCATGACTGGGTTCACTTTTGTCTTATTCAGTGTCTAGTGTAATGACTGGCACACAGGAGGAACTCAATAGTTATTGGTTGAATAGTCAATGTAATTTCCTAGTAAGGAAAAAAACTTACTTTCTTCAAGATCCTGCTCAGAAAAGTTTATAATCTTTGAGGAGTACAGATAGATAAATCTATGATATGGATTATTAGAATAGTAGGTTTCCTTTCGTTGGACATTTAGTTAGTTTGCAATGCTTCATTATTGTAAATAATGCTGTAAAAAATGACTTTAAAAATATATCATATAGAGACTCTTTGTAACTGTTTAACTGTCATCTCCTTCACTAGTATGTAACCTCTCTACAGCCAAGCACCACATCTCTTTTGTCCAACATCTTAGATCCTCTTGCAGGGTGAACCGCCTGAATGTGGTATTATTCAATAAATATTTACGGAATTGCATCAAGTAATATTAAATCCTATTAGTGGAAGGAAGGAACCACGTGATTCAGCCAATGATGGATTTCGAAGGGAGGCTCCAAACCTTTATCTTCAGGAATATGTTGGTTTCCTTCTATCCTTTTTCTCCCACCATGCTCCACCCGAAACCCTTCCTTTTCCAAGGACTGTGAAAGATCTTGGGTATATTTTTACTATTGTTGGCATCTGGTTTGAGTTTTTCAGTGGTTTTCAACTTGGGTCCAAAAATAGCCCGTGGCTGTACTTAGTATCTTTGACGGTTATATTTGAGGTTTTGCTCATTGCTTTCTCCCCCCACCCCCGCAGTGCCCACCAGGCTATTATGAGAACAAATCTGTTAAAAGAAGAACTGGAGGAACTGAAAATTTGTGTGAGCGCCTCAGAAGAGCAGAAGACCATGGTTATAGCCCAGAACAAACAATTAGTAAGTCATCCAACTACTTTGAAATTGGCATATAGTTTACATCCCTGCAATCCAACAGAGCTTATTTGGCGGTAAAAATCAGAAATCGGTAGGCTGATGAATGAATTGGTAACACCTTAGAAAAGTAAAGGCAGGTAGGATAAAACAAACTCTGTTTTTCTTTTCAACCAGGATTAAAATTCTTTACAAATGACTCGGTCTTATTCACAATGGTTTGAGAAGATCTCTGGAGTATCTCCTGAAGTTAATAGGTGAAATCATAAATATCTGACGTTAAAACCACTTAGATTTTTCCAAAAATATCTTCCCTGTCAAACTTTCAGCTTTTTCTCTGGTTTAAAAAAAAATCCATTTTCTCAGTACTTACAGATTACTAATAAGCTCCATAAATCAGTCCTTACAGTAAATAAACACAAGCTTGTCATTTTTAGAGCAAAATGTTACTTAAACTAAGCTTCAGTTCAACTGCCAGAGAAGTAATTATTTTTGTTGAGAATGTTAAACTAGTATCTAGAGCTTTAGTAATAATCTTCAAAATTCTGGCATATTCCAGGAGTATTGTAGCGTTGCTAACCATGGTGGGCCAAGCTGAAAACCATTCAGACAAATCGTTTATTTTTAGGTCTGTAAGTCATCAGGAGACTTGGATTCCAGGCCTGTGTCTCTCACTCGTGACCACCTACAACCAACACAGCTTAGCTTAGCTCTTGCCTCAAAAGGAAAATGTGGGGACTAGACTCACTGAGGGTCAGCTGACTCTGCATTACGGGAAAGACTCGATCTGGGGACTGCTGAGGCGCTTCTGCGCGGAAGCCGTGTAGAGACGTGATCAGGCGCTCAGCCTTGGGAGTCAGGCTGCCAGCTTCCAAGCTCTGACTCTCAGGGCTGCGTAACTTCACGCAATCCACGTTACCTCTCCAAGCCTCAGTGTCCTCCTATGAGAAATGGGCATGGATAACATTACCTCCCTTAGGGCTGGGAGGGTGAAATGAGTGAATACATGCAAAGCAGTCAGCACCCTCTCACCTCTGAGAGCTTAATGTTCGCGTCTGCTGTTCAAGTGCAGGGTCCTGTACAGTCTTCATCTTTTGTACTTTACAGTGTTTTACAATTTCAAAAGAATTTTTAATTTTTCACCTCATTGATCGTCATAGACATCCTGTGAGGCAGAAACAGAAGTTGCTGCCCTGTTTTGTTGTGGTTTTTGTTGTTAAAAGGACTTCACTGGGATAGAGGGAAAACCAGATAACCTTCCAGTCATAAAATTCAAATGACTTACTGCCCCCTTCAATCTCCTACTCTTCCAGCTTTGGGGAGGGGGCTCCTGCTCCCCTACACTGCAGTCTATTTTTTTTTAAGTTTTTTTTTTTTTTATTTGAAGTATAGTCAGTTGCAGTGTGTCCATTTCTGGTTACAGCATAATGTTTCAGTCATACATACACATACATCTATTTGTTTTCATTTTCTTTTTCACTATAGATTACAAGATATTGAATATAGTTCCCTGTGCTGTACAGAAGAAATTTGTTTTTTATTCTGTTTTATATATAGCAGTTAGCATTTGCACATCTCGAACTCCCAATTTATCCCTTCCCACCCCCTTTCCCCCCGTAACCATAAGTTTGTTTACTATGTCTGTGAGTCTGTTTCTGTTTTGTAGATGAGTTCATTTGTGTCAGAAGTTGCTATTCTTTATTTTTAAAGAAGTAATAGAGTTAGGGTAAAGTTTAGAGATGTTTTGACTATTCAGTCAGTTGTCTCAAAACTGGTAGGACAAGAAGTGAACTCAGGTCTTCTGATTCCAACTATCCCAGCCTGAGAGGGTCTCCCTTTTATTTTTATACTATAAAGGTAATAACTATTCACACTATAAAAATAAGGAAATTTTTAGGGGGGTAGAGGGTAGGCACATGCCCAGCATGCACGAGGTGTGTGGTTTGATCCCCAGTACATCAGTTTAAGTAAAAATAAATAAATAAATAAACCTAATAATCCCCTCCCCCCCCAAAAAACAACAAAAAACAAGCAACTGCATATTGACAAAGGAAAATAAAATCCCACAAAATTTTTACCCTACCTAGCCATTAGATTTACTGTAAACATTTTGGCATGTATCCTGTCCTAAAATACTTTTTATTCTGATGGTTCTGAATCTGTGGCTCTTAATTATAGAATAGTTTTTGATAATCCTATATTCTGATAATGTTGAATCTGGGAATAGTCACAACTTCAAGTAGAAAGCTAGAGGTCTGTGTGATTTCAAAGTGCTGTTCACTTAGATGAGTTCACACTATGCCGTAAGTGGATAGTGGTAAAGTAGCAGGGAAAAAGGCCAGGCTGTTCTTTTTCTTTTTTTCCTTTTCTTTTTTCTCATCTTTCCTTCCCTGTCATAGTTAGATTGAGTCAAGAAGAGTGACTTCTCCCAGATCCCAAGAAACTGGAAACCAAAGGCTTACCCCGTATGGAGAATATGTTCAGACTAGGCTCATTTGTGCTGTGTCAGTGCTGTATTTAAGGTTGATAGAAAAAGAAAATGTTGATAGCCTTGGATAAAAAATGTGATTTTTTCATAAACTTCTCAAATACTTTTTAATTACTTTTCTCTTAATAAATAAGGAGACAGAAAACCGGGCTCTGATTCTTAAGATTCGGATTCTCCAAGAAGAGGTATGTTGAAATCATTAAATGGGCTCAGGTAAACATATGGAAATCATACAGTCCTGGTTCCTGACCCTGGCTTAAGCAGAAAGCATCTGACTATTCAGGCTCCTGTGGGCCAGAGACCAGGTTGCTTTGTCAAATGACAATGAGGAACAGTAGACAGGATTTTCCTGTCTGGACAGAAGTATGTTATTACCTTTGTAATCATCCATGGAAGAAATGGGATTTAGAACTCTGATTTGAGATGAAATGAATTTAACCCATATAAGAAGTATACAAACCAAGAAGGAAAGTGTAGACATTGTCTAATAATTTGCCATTATTATTCCACCGAGCTCGGTTGCAAAGGTCTTTAAGTCTAAGACCCGCATCTTAAATTCACTGAAAGTTTGACCTTGGAAAAGCCATTTATCTTTTGGGGGATTAATAATAAATATTCCCTACAGTTATTTTACAAATTTAGATAATGCATGTGAGGTTATTTGGTTAACCATAAGGTACCTCATCTATGTTAGGAAATATTAGTAAAATCTGTAAAAAAAAAAAAGAGTCTATGCAATATATTTTAAGCAACAGAATTAAAGCATTGAAAGAACAAGTAGAAAATCTGCTAGGAAGTTACTATTTCGGAGGAAAATTCTATAGGTACCGTTTGAATGTCAATCATTTTATGGGTTTTTTTCGGCTTTCTTTCAGTTTGTTAGAAGTATTTATTAAGCTACAATGAACAGTCTAAAGAGTTATCCAAAATACCGTCGTGAGTTGAAAAAATCATAGTGAGTTGAAAAGGAACAATTAAAGATTGGAAAGAAACTCCACGTTGGATTCAGACATGTTTCCACTACAAGGCCAGGTGTCTGTGAAGCTAATGCTTTACAATTAAGCTCTCAGTGTGAAATATTTTCTCCTCATATATAAGATGATTGACTGGCATCAAAGAATTGCACCCCTCCCCCCAGTTTAGAATTGAGATAGAAGGAAGGAGACTTACAACCCTTCATCATGAGAGGGCATAACGTAATTTGTTGATTTACGTTGCGAAAGGCAAACTGATGTCACTACTAGCTACGGTTCCTGTAGGAGGTAAAAATCTGATGCGTTGTGAAGAGTGACAACACGATGGTTTGGGTAGTTGTTCACTTTGCGTATTATACACACATTCACTGGGAGACAGAGCCCATTCTAGGTGGTGAGGATGCAAGCTTATGCAAAATAGCCCAAAATGGCATGTGAGATGGTGATTAGTGCCACAGAGAAAAGAAGACCAGAATGCAGAACTGGGCGGGGGGAGTGTGCGATTTAAACTAGGGTGGTAGGGAAAGTAGAACGGCGAAGTTACTCATTTTGTTAAAAACTGGAAAGGAAGAACGTTCCAGGCAGAAGAAACAGCAGCTCCAAGACCTCTGGCTGTAGCTTGCCTGCTGTTTTTGAGGGACAGCAAAGCCAGCATGGCTGGAGCAAGGGAACAGGTATCATGAGATGCTGCAAAGAGCTGCAGGGACCCAGACCCACAGGGTCTCATACAGGCATTGTTTGGACTCTGGCTTTTATGCTGAGTGAGATGGGAGCTGCTGGACAGTTTTGAGCAGAGGAGTAACATCGTCTGATTTCAGTTTTACCGTGGCAGCTCTGAATGCTGGATTTAGAATCTACTGCAGTGGGGCAGGGGAAGAAGCGAGGGGACCAGTTAGGAGGCCCTTGTAATTATTTAGGCAAAAGCTGCTGGAGGCTTAGAACTGAAGCAGGAACAAAAGAGGCAGAGAAGTGTTCAGCTCGGTAAGTGCTTCATAATATATCCAAAGGTATTTACTATATATCCAAGTCAGATGAAAAATTCACATCTGATTGCTTCTGATGTCTCAGTGAAATACAGAGCAAAGTCATTGGCGGAGAGTGAGGATGTTGGAGGAGGTATCTGAAGTTCAAGGAGAGAGAAGGAATGAAATCAGTCAGGAGTTCGCAAACTTTTTGTAAAGGATCTGATAGTAAATATTTTTAGGCTTGCCTGGCTTTTGTCACAACCACTCACTTCTGCCACTGCAGTGTGAAAGCAGCCATGGACAGTATGACAACAAATGGGCTCACCTGTGTTCTAATAAAACTTTATTTACAAAACCAGGTGGTCAGCTAGAGCTGGCCTGTGGGGCTGAAGTGGGGAAGTGGGTATAGTTTGCAAATTCTTGATTTAAGCAAATAGCCATGTGAATGGACTAGGATTATATATGATCAGCAGTAAACAGTGAGGTTAAAGGTTACAAATGTAACATGTGACCTGTTGGTTTATTTGTATTTTTCTTTTAATGTGTGTGCTTCTTTCTTAAAAATCTTTTTTAATTGAAGTATAATTGATTTACAAGATATTTTTCCTTTAACAATGTTTATCTGAAAGGGAGCTGGCATGGGGTGGGTGGCAAGCTGAAATTAAGAAAATACGCAGAAGTAGGGAAGAGCCAAGGGCATTGAGGGGACATGGAAGACAGTGATTACAGTGACTGACTATGGAAGAATTTAAGCTGAGACAAGAGGGGATTGAGTTCACAGGAAGGTGGAAGAATAATGAGATGGTATTAGGGTCAATGGATGGAAGACTCCAGTGGGAACTGAAGGTTTGCTGGTGTGCAAAGAAGTAGTCTGGAAGGACAAGAAGTCATGGTAGAAGAGTGAGATGCTTGCACTTAAGGTAATGGAGGGGTCTCAGTTGCTGGTAATGACCAACCTGAAGGTATGACTGGGGAGTGAGTGGCCGAGGTGAACTGGAAAATAAGAAGGGATTACTGAGAGCATTCCTGGATGATCGTGTTAAAAGGATCGTGTTATTTTTGGACAAAGTCTAAAATTTTGTCCCTTAGTTTAAAATGGATTATAATGTCGATGATGAAAATACCACTTCCTAAAAAAGATTTTGTGATGTCCTTTTATTTTTCTTTTTTGGTCTGAATCTAAGAATACTATCTTATTTTACATTAGAATGCTAAGAACATTATGGATATATATAAATTGGAAAAGAAGATTGAGGAATTATCTAAAACTGAGAAAGAGCACCAAGTAAGCACTTCTCAAATACTGGTAAAATATTTTCTTACATCAAACGAATATTACTCTGTAATGTTGTATATGACTCCTTGACACAATAACCTTTGGTTATAAACTTTGAAATTTGTACTTCTCTAGATGTCTGAGTTACATAAAAGACAGTTTCTATTTTAGTAATGTAACAGCTTTACTGATATATAATACACATGCCATTAAATTCACCCACTTAAAGTCTACAGCACATTGGTTTTCAGTATATTCAGAGTTGTACAACCATCACCAAAACCAATTTTAAAATACTTTTATCATCCCAAAAGAAATCCCTTTAGCAGTCACTCCCCATTCCTTCCTTACCCCAGACAACCACTGATCTGCTTTTCTGTCTCCATAGATTTACCTATTCTGGACATTTCGTTTAAATGGAATCATATACATTATGTGGTCTATTATGACTGGCGTTTTTAACTGAGCATGTTTCAAAGTTCATCCCTGTTGTAGCATATAGCATCACTTTACTTCCTTTTATGGCTGAATGACTTTCCATTGGATGGATGTAACACATTTTGTTGATCCATTCATCAGTTGATGGACATTGGAGCTGTTCCTGCTCTTTTTGCTATTACGAATAGCGCTATGAATATTCATGTACTAGTTTTTGTGTGGACATATGTTTTAATTCCTCTTGAGTATATACCTAGGGGTGGAATTACTGAGTCATATGACAACTCTATTTTTAAGCTTTTGAGAAACTGCCAGACTTTTTCCCGAAGTAGCTGCACCTTTTTACATTTCCTGTAATATGCTGTATATGAGGGTTCAAAATTCTCCACATCCTTGCCAACACTTGTTATTACTTATCCTTGTGTAGAGTGGCAATTTCTAATTTAACAGTATCTGAGTTTGTAAATCCCTAAGTTAGGAAAGGTTTTGTAACTTCTTAATGCAGAAAATGAAGAGAGATGGGGGAAAAAAAAAATCTATCCTTGATCCAATCATTTAAAAAATGATTATATAGCACCTAGAAATTCCATATTTCATATATTTTTGGGTTGTATCTGCCATACATTCTTATTAGGAAATAGAAGACAACTATTATTAGTTGTTAAACTCAGGAATTTGTGTCATGCTTACTGTCATTGCTAATGATTTATTTGAACAATACTTTTGTTGTAGGATATATTTGAAATGATGTGCTGAAATTTTATGTCTGTGTGTGGAATTCTCAGGTTTCCAAGCAGAACCCCAATTCCGTGTGTGTATGTACATATACATATATTACAGCAGTTATAATTTAGACAGTAAAATTAGTTTTATTCTAAGGATGACTGTTTTGGAAACCACAACTGGTATAAACTAGTGGAAAGATCAAGAAGACATGGATTCAAATCCTGTCTTCTCGACTTAAAAGCTTTATAACTTCAAGCAAGCAGTTAACCTCTTTAAATCTCAATTTTCTCATCTACTGGATGGGTATGAGATTTTCTGCCTCATCCACAAGCTTGTTGGAAACTCAGACGAGATGATTATGTGAAAATATCTTTAAAACGATAAAGGGACATCAAATATCTGTGATTCTGATGATGATTCTGATTGTGCAGATGATTTTTCCAGGTTTTCCATTCAATCAATATATGGTTTTTATCAATTACATCCTATTTAGAAGTCCATGCCAACAAGCTTGC